GGGGAGGGGGCTGCTCTGGGGTGCGGGTACCGAGGGGAGGGGGCTGCTCTGGGGTGCGGGTACCGAGGGGAGGGGGCTGCTCTGGGGTGCGGGTTCAGGGCAGACGCCTGCGCTGGTACCTGGCAGCCCTTGCTGCGGGGCTCTAGTCCCTTCCTGCATGGGCCAAACGCAGCTGAGAGTGACTTCCCCTGATCCAAAGAACAAGTACAATGCGACTCATAAATCCTTTTCTCCTTTTCTGTATGACATCTTGACTCCTGTCTACAGCTTCATAAAGTGAGGTGTGTTTCATGCTTTCAGCCTAAACTTGGTAAAGGAGAAAAGATCAGAGGAGGTGCAGGCAAAGGAAATGGACACAGATCAGTTGCTTCAGTAATGCTCTTTCCAGCTGGGTTATAAAATAAGGGCCTATGCATCATGCCATTTAGCCTGTATTTGTGTTTTAAGTTCCCACCCAGACCTGCAAGAACAGCATTTCTTTGTAATTTAACAACTAAGGGCTGGACAAGATTTATCCTCATCAGCTTGGACACCTGTTAGTGTTTCTTAATGTCTTTAACACTGAAAAGTTTTATACTGTAAAAAAAAAAAAGTCTTATTTTTATTGCATTGTTTTAAAGTTGCTTACTGTACTCTTAATGCTGGTGAAGTTACTAGAACTACTCCTTTAGAGTACTAGATTTAGAACAAATGTCCTAGTCATGCCTTGGGAGTCCCATTGGGGAGCCACTAAGGAGGGAGTAAAAGCAGTATTTTTCTATTAGAATGGTCTTCAAAAGTTGTCCAAAACTATTTTTTTTATCCCAAATGTTGTAAATGTTTTGGCCACCTGAACCATGGCTGTTACAGGCCAGAGGTGTCAGCAGCACCTTCTGACAGTGTGCAAACTGTCATTCTGCTGGCCTTACTTACAGATCTACATACCAATTATTTCCCAAGGTTTGCAGGTGATTGGTATTATTCCTTGCTTTATTTTTCCCATCATGAGTTCCTAGAATTTCTAAAATGTCTCTTGTGTTTGGGGGCTGAATACCAGGTTTCCCACATTATTATTTTTTTTTGGAAGAAAAAAATCTCTTAAGTATCAGTGCAATGGTTTTTATCATGTTTGAGCACAAAGGCAGTTGTGGTTCTGAAGTCGTACCGAATCTACATGGATCTTGATCTGAATGCATTTGTTTTGTCCTGTTAAAATAATGTTTCTGAAGCGTGCAATAGCTTCCATCTTTTAGACATTGTTGTTAGTTGTTAAGATAGTTTTGCTGAGAAACGCAAGTTTCTTGTGCCTTTGTCAGGGTTTGCTTTTAGAAAAAAAATTCCCTGTAAAGGAAAATCCATTCTGTCTCCAGCAGGAGGCTCACTCTTCTAGGATAATAAACGCCTCGCTAAATTTGAACAAACGTTCTTCTCTAGGAGGCTGAAAAGGAAGAAGAAGCTGAGATGCAGACACTGGAGAAACAAAAACATACTGGAGAATAGATATGAAGCACTGAAGGATCCCAAGGAATGAATTTGAAAGAGGTGAAAACAGCGCCTATTGGTGGCGAGGGTACAGTCTAGCTCCATGTGGCTTCCACTAAGGTCACCTCAAGGCAACTGTACACACACACACACAGGGATCCTGGGGTCCAATTCACAGTCTGCTTCCATTCCAAAGTGCTTTTAATACAAATGGATTTACCAGACATTGTATTAATGTATTTAAATTTACCAGACATATTGCATTAATGTATTTTAAGAGATTAATAAAATACTTTGTCACACTGTAAGGGGTTTTGTTCTGAAGGGGACTAAAACCAGAACTGCACTTCACATATGCAGGCTTATTTTCAGAGGCTCTTCAGTCAAGGCTGAGGCCTTGGAAATGACAGCCTTGACAAGACTGATGCTTTTGAAAGACCCTGGTTTTAAGACACTAAGAAAATTTCATTCCTGAAGTGTTCACTTGCACCTGTTCCAACTGTTAAGATACTACTGCACTTTGCTCTAGGATCAAGCATCCCATGGGCTGGTTTGCTCTGGAGCATTCTGGAATTAGAGGTAAAATATGAAAAGCATTCCAAGCTTGATCTCCCCCACTTCTTATGTGTATACTGAAAACACACCTCGCTTAATGTCTAGTATGGGAGTTACAGGAGTTCCATAATGAAAGAAAACACTAGAAATACCACCTTGTCACCCTCAGAGTGGTTCACAGAAGATCTGCCCCTTCTTGAGGTTTAAGCACTTAAAATAAGTAACTTTGACAACCACATACCCACATTTGGCAATGTTAAGACATGACAAGACTGAGTAACAGAGTTTGATACAGGCACTTAGTAGCTGGTCTAATTTCTCCTGCAGAACTACTGCAGCTGATGCCAGTCCTTTTGTCCAGTTCTGTAACTGGACAGCTTCAGGTGCCCTTAGCCAGATACAGCTGCTGTGGGATGCAGTTCCGTGAGCTGCTACAATGCTCCTGAAGAGTTTGGGATATCAGTGTTGTGCTTCAGCTGCTGGGGTAGAACAGATAAAGGACAATGTGTCATCTCTGGCAATTCATCTGAGTGCAGCAGCAGAACTTGATGCTGGATTTAACACAGCAGGTGGATGCAGCACTGGCTGATGATAATGTACAGAAGGAAAAAGCTCCCCTGGATGTCAGTCTTTTATTCCATTCTGTTTCAAGCCAACAGTGATCAAAAAGTAGACCCCACTAAAGATGTTTTTCCCTTCAACTACCTGGAACAGGACAACTTGGGGTACGCAAGCGAGGTGTGCTTTCATGCTGCACCTGTTGAATGCACAATGCAGAAGAGTTAGAGAAGGAAAACACAAGAAGTCATGAACACACCACAGACAACACATTTCCACTTGACTGCCTTAAGAGCAGGCAGGTTGCACAGATGCTGGTTTTTGGCCCCCACTACATAAGCTGAGAGAAGTAAACCTCTGTGTATCATTCTATTCAACCAAGCAAGTACACTTTACTTAATGTTAGGGCTTTAGTTTTCCTTAACTAAATGCCTTTTTATTAATGAGACTACTAGTCTTATCTCTAGTGTCCTAAATACAGCAGAGCTTCAGCATGCAGTGGTAGCTTTCTGAACATTTAGCTGGAATGAGAGGAAATGTTGCATTAAAACTTAAGTTTCTCTTTAGAGAGTCTCTTGTTTTTTCTCTGTCCTGGTTTGAGCCAGGATGAAGCCAATTTTTCTTTTTACTGATTTTTTTTCCTTCAGCAAGCTTTCTTGTAACTAGCAACAGTGTGTTCTGCTAGGCTGATAAGACAGTGGAATATTTTTCTAACTACTGAGGCTTCAAGGCCGCACCTGCACTCTGCCGGCTCAGACACTATGGGGAGATCTGTGAGCCCCCCGTAGGAGGCTGAGTTAGACGGACAGCAAAATTGGCCAAAGATATTCCATTCCATATATCTACGTAAGCTCAGAGGAAGGTCAGAGATCACAGAAGACAACTTCCTTCCTTCTTCTTCTTCTCTTCTCTTCCGTCCATGGTGTCCGGGGAGGACTCTGTTCATCCATCACCGTCGATCCTCAGGCTTGATCTCTTGTGACCCCCATAACGCTCTGCATTCTCCAGCAGCAGCTTCGGGATTCCTCGGGACTCTTCCCAGTTCAGGGAAGTGCTGTGGGAGTTGCTGGGGGTGGGGGGAGGCGAGAGGCTTTT